GTTGCTCGAGCACAAACGTGGAGAGGACACGTGGAGTTACCCTGGGTATCACACGAGCTGTACCAAGAAGCAGGTGGGGCAGGAGGAAGCTCAGAACGCTCCAGGCCACAGGGAGGGAAGAAAAGTGGTGAATGCACCAGGGATCCTGTGGAAAGCTCGGATCCCTTCTCTCAGACAAGCCAGACATGGCATTCCAGTTCTGTGGAAGGCTGCGTCTGCTCCCTGGCTGCTGGGGCAGATGCCACAGGGGTGTTTTATCTTTGCCTTTCTTTTCCACCTGAACCCAAGGGATCTTGGTCCCTGTCCCGCAGGAGCCAGCAGCACTTCTTCCTTCTTGTTCTCCGCGCTCGGGTCTCCCTTCTCTCGTTGCGTAACCCCCTGCCTGCTCCCAGGCTGGGCTGGGCAGGCAGCAGCACGACGATGGTGACGCTGCCAACCTCCTGCCCACCCACGGGGCTGGAAATAGCTGAGAGGGCTCAGCCCCCAAAAAAGGCCCCCCAGGGTGGTCGGCCAGGAGGTGAGTGACGGGGGGCTCCAAGATCCGCCTTTCTGTGGACGTAGGGAGCTGGTGCGGGCCCGAGTTTGCATTTGGAAGGGTTTCTCTTTAATGAGGCAGGGAGGTCTCAGTATTTTTATTTTTTTTATCTCACCTTTTTTTTAAAATCTCCCACCTCGTTCAGGTTTTTAACGCTGCAGGACTTGAGGACCCAGACCTCGATGTTTTCCAAGCTGGTGCTGAGTAGGTGGGTGTTCCAAACCCCGAAGTTTGAGAACACATTGGGGCTGACAGGCCCCTCCTATTTAACGCCTGGTTCTCCTCCTCCTCTTCCTCTGCACAAGTGGGCAAGCTCGAGCAGAAATCTAACCCCTCCTCGCTGTTGTTTTAATTTGCATTTGGGCTTTCGTTTAGCTTTGTGGTGTTTTCTTATTACTGGAGGAAAACAAGAAGTGAGATATCAAGTGGGGGGAAAAATTTAAAAGAAAAAGTGGCCCAAGATGTAAAGAATGTGTAACATCTCCAAGTCGTGCTTTGAATAAGGGTGGTGTCAAACTCAGTGTGGGCAGAGAGAGAGGTGGGGACGTGGAGAAGTGTCAGATATATCCGGTTACTCAGAAGAATTCAAATGCTCCCTGTGCCTGCTTTATTTCAGCCAGGGCTTGTGTCGGGTACCAGCCAGAAGCATCCCCAGCGTTTAAGAGGTAAGGAGAAGGGAGGAGGTGGGTCGGGTGCTAAAATGGGGTTAGAGCAAGGAGAAGGAACTAAATGAAGTATCTGTCAGCGTTTCCTTGGGTGAGCATGACCAGGCAGGGGCAAGTAGGGAGGTGTGTGCCCTGACAGCATCCAACTCCTCTTGGGATTAAATGTGCAGCTGGAAGGCGCCGTGGAGTGAAAAACTTCCCAGATTTTCTCAGGAAAATAAGGAGAGGGGAGAGCCCTGAAACGTCGCAGAGGAGGACTTACAAGTTGTTGCCCAGCATGTTCCTCTTGGTGGCCCCCAGGAAG